TTTATTTTTATTTTTTTCCTTTGAGACAACGTGAGGGGAACAGGTGGTCGGCAAGGGGGACAGATCAGGACAGCGAACTTTTTGTTTTTTTGTTTTTTTTCCCCGTGAGGGTCCCGATATCGGAATGGGGAGATAGTCAGGGGTCAGGATGGAGAATGGAGGGGGGGGGGGGAGGGGGAGGGAAGTGGACGTTATCCCGACAGAGCACGAGATTGGGGTCCGGAAGGGGGTGATGCGACGACATCGTCACAACGAAGGGAGGACGACGAGATCGGGATAGGCAAGGGGGAGGGTCGGGATCGAGGGAGGGGATCATGTCCTCGACGCGATGATACGGGGGTGCGCGGATAGCCCAGATAAGCGAGGGGCAGCGAGGTCGGGATAGAGAACGTGAGACGAGATCAGGGGTCGGAATAGAGAGGAGGAGGAGGGAGGAATCGGTGTCGGGCGCATCGACCCGGCATCGCACGTGGCAGCGCGGGACCCTCTCGGCCGCGTCACGCAGGAGTTAGACCAACCTTGCCACGAACACACAAATGGAGCTTCCTTAGGCCGCTCCGGCCGAGAGCGCCATCCATACCTCTCGCGAGTCCCTACGACAAGATAGGGCCTACGCGAGGCTCAACTTATCTCCACCTTACGGGATCTGTCACCTCCCTTCGGTGGGCGTATCCCCGCCGAGCTACCAGTCCACAATACGAAAGCTACTCAGTTGCAATCGAAGAGGTGGACCAGCCGAGGGCGTTTCTCGTTCGTTGTAGCATAGGGGGTACGCGCGGTAATACGCCTATCGGGCCCGCACGCGAACCGACATCTTGGGGGGCTGAAGTCCCAAGCGCGGCTCGTCGTCGGTCGACTAGAACGCATCTCACACACCACGCGCACACCACTTTACGAACACAAAAAATAAAACACACACACACACACACATCGAACAACGTGACAACACTCCTAGTCCCTTCAGTAGCCGTCCCATAACTTCCCAACGCGGAAATCGAATAGACGTCGCGCGTGAGACTCCGTATAAAACCGCGCGGACGGAGGGCTAACTCATATCGACTCGCAATGCAAGCGTACGCAAGCA